GAGTGCAAAACCAGGACAAATACAAAGTATGCAGCCAGTTTCTGGCATTTTGCATGCAGGGACTTCTCTGCTGGAAGTTGTATCTGCATCCTGGCGCTTAATAGGTTCAGTTGGACCTTCCTCCCTCAATGTGCCAAGGGGATTTGCCACTAAATTTTCAACGTAGAAGGCCATACTGTCACTGTGAGCGTAGGTATTATTTTATTTCTTTTGAACCTGTTGCCTAATAATTCATTTTGGGTCAACCTAGGCCTTATGTCAGGAGGAATGGTGAGCAGTTGTTCTCTGTTCCTGCTGTTATCTTCTTTTCCACATTACCCCAATCGTGCATCTTCCAAGCTACAAAAACTTAATCTGTTTAATTGCACCCTGTATCCAACTGTTCAGTATCTCCAGTCAACACTGGTTTTGTTCTTCGTACCCTTCTGTCTTGCTGCTGTTGCCTTTTAAGGTAGGCAATGGCACAATATTCAAGATAAGAGCACAACAACGTTTTCTGTTCTGTTTGCTGTTCTTACCTTATGTATAGTACAATGCTTGATAAATATCTGCCATACATTTAATTTGAGTAGGTTAATAGTAGACTTTCTGGTGATACATCGCTGGTGTAGTCCCATCCTAAATGTTGTGTGTGCCACAGAATAGGTCATGTAGATATTCAAAATAACTTTCAGTTACTACCCAGGAAAAGCAAAGTTTATTATCTGCTAAATTACTGTAAATTACATAGACATGTTTGAATAAGCTGATTCCACAAGCTGTACTCTCTAAAACAGAACTTTTCTTTTTGGAGATACAGGCATACATATGGACATGTACTTGCACACTGTTGCTTTGCTTTATTTCTGATGCTGAAGGTAGTCCTGAAGTGGTAAGGTAATTTGTCTCAGGATCATGTCTTCTGTGGCTTGTGTTATTAGCTGCAACTGGGAAATGGCGTGCAGTTAACAAAAACAATAAGCTGTTTTAATTGAGGCTCCTATCTGATTGCTTGGAGGTTCTAGAAGGATGTTGGCTGCGTGACAGTGGGAGGAACTGGGTGTAGAGTGATGGGGTCGCAACTTCATAGAGAGCTTCGGCACTAAAAATCAGGAGTAGTAATTCACATTGAGAGTTGGTGCTGAGAAAAGAAATTTAGGTACTTTGGGGATATACAATGGTCTTTTGTAACTGTTGACGAAAGTTATGTTCATTCTTCCCCCAGCAGTTCTTTGGATATTTCATAAGCGGTTGCCAGTGATTCCACCAGTTAAAAGACCTGTGGATCACACTTGGTCCTGGAACAAGGCAGGGTCTTTATAATCTTTTGGTTCAGATACGCTTTTGCTCACTGTGTAATGGATTGGTCTCTCTCTTTATATAAATTACCCGCTCATGGTCACTTGCAAACATCCCAAGCATTAAGGTATTCTGTTAAGATACGACATTTCTTGCCGAGTGTGTGCGTTAAGGAATGCCCCAAACCACCTCTGTCGGAGTAGATTTGTTACTCAGAGTGAACCATTATTATACAGCAGTACTTCCAATGCATTTTAGTGCACTTTCAGTTGGACAAATAGGAGTGTTACCAGGTCTTTGAAATATTCATAGTAAACATGTAAACTGCCATGCTAGTACTCATAAATTCATGTTTCAGCTTATGTACATTTACAAAACTGCAGAGAGAGAAACTCTATATCAAAGCATCCCTTCCCAAAAGCAAACAAGTTTGATTTTTCCGGAACTGTGCAGGAGATAATTGCACCAGTGTTTTTGATGATGAAGACTGTAAATGGCAAGTCTGGGAAGAGATGTTGAAATACTAACATCTCTTCTAGGATGATTTTTCTATGTCTGTCTTTCTCATATGCGATAATTCATTAATATTTATATATATTAATATTTAACATGTTTCTGAGGCATAGATGAACTGGTAAGATTAACCAGAATTACCTGATCTTCCTCCTCCTGTCTGGCTTTCAGTGGTATCAGTGGTAGTGCTTGATAGATGTTTGATCTCTGTGCTTCATTATACAAAAGGAATGTGAAGCATTCGCTCCTCAAGCTTTTGAATCCTGTGTCTGGTAGCAGGTAGATCAGAAGGAATGGAAAAAGGAGTGTTTTCCTGAGTGAAAGGATCTACTGGAAGCTTCTCTTTTCCCATAATGTGCCAGTTCATAGACATTGCTAGATTTTGTATGTTGCTACTTTGAACAGAATTCATGATACAGAACCTTTAAGTTACTGTGTAATGTGTGTGATTGCTCTTGTTCTAGAATAGCATTCAGTGGGTTTCAGTTAGTTCAGTGGCTCATAAAAATAATGGTTACTTCGGCTAGCTGATGAAAGTAGTAAATGAATTAACAATTTCAAAGGCAGACTCACTGTGGCAAGGAATTCTCATTTTGTTTTCAGTGGACTGTTCTTTAAGGTTATGTTGAAGGAATTGATTTCATGTAGGGTAGCTCCTATTATGATTTTATTTTGTTTCTAAATGAAATTATTCTAAATTATTGTTCACGTCTGGCGATGGTTCAAAGGTGCTGTAGAACAGTTTCACCATGAATGTTTACTTTCTGCATCTTTTCCCATGTAAGTAGCTATGTTAGTAGTTACTGTCATGTACTGTATTCATTCAAAGAACTTTGGAGCAATTCAGTGATCTGCAGCTTTCTTTGGATCATAAGCAGTTGTGTTTATTAAATATCTCTTGGAAACTAGATGAAATGAAAAAGGTTTCTATAAAGTGACAATCTTGATCAGCAAGATAAAGTATTGACATCAGCTGGCATTAACTGGCAAACTTTCTTAAATCTATTTACGTTAAATATTGTTAGTATTCTTTTACTAACAATGAAGCTATTAAATCAAAAAGTTTATCATAGAAATTTTGTGTTTATTGGAAGGAACTGACTTCGTTGTCCCAGCATACATAATAGTCACCTGATAGAAGGGTATGTTACGTGGTTTTTAACCTGGTTGCAGAATGAGAACTCTTCATGACAGATATGATACATTGTTTTTAAAAGAGAGATTTGATCAATGTAGATGAGAAGGAAAACTTGCTACACTATACCCAGTAATTGTAACTATAAAGAAAATGATATGCTTAATCAATTTATTAGGATTGAAAGTTTTTGCAGTTCAGTTCCTAGTTGCTTTTGGGATTAGGGGAGACTGTTCAGTACACTGTGTTCTCCATTATTAATCAGTAATGAAGCTTCTGGCAGTCTTTACTATTGAGCTAATGACTAGTTTCATTTTGGGTTCTTAACACATTAAATTACCATTTAAATAAAGATTAATTACTGCTATTTTATTTTTAGCATTTTAAGAGTAGTTATTAAAAAGTTTCGTAATAAATACTACTTTGTTCAAAATAGAATCGTTTGATTTAATAGAATATGGGGACAATTATGGGGAAAAGAGTATTGTGGAAATAGTGATGTGTTCTTAGTATTTTGTTTCTATGGTAGGAGCCCAGTGGAAAGATTCGGAAAGTTTTAAGTTTGCTTCTGGGGAATTTGCTGCTGCAGTTACAGCAGTCTTGCTGTCGAGGACTATAGCAAGGAATCAAGCTCCATGCTCTGACCTGCAGCTCAGTAGCCGTTGCCTGTGATTTTTATTAAACTCGCGAACAGTACTGCTGATTGCTGAGTGAGCTAAACCTGCCGCCTACGCTCCGGGACTGCA